TTAAAAGAATGCTTAAAAGCATTTTTGCCATCTCTGAAGCTCTGATATTGTTATTGGAGTTTTTTTGTTTTTTTGCTGATAAAAAATGTGAAAAGTGAGCAATAAGTAAGCCATATAAAAAGGCAGAATTTAAAGGACTCTTAATGTTTCCTAAATGGTGTAATTAAACCTTTTTCAGTCTATAAACAGTATTTATAATTAGGGTAGGTATTCTTTATCCTGTCTAGCCTTAGAGTACCTTCCAAAGGGCCTTGCCTTTTATTTCATCTCCTTCGGTCAAGGCTGTGAGATCCACTGGGCTGGGGTTTTACTCTGTGGTAAACGGCGAACCAATAAAGTAAAACTTTAAAACCAGATAAAAGCTTATGAGACTAACAGAAATTATATATTTGGAAACCATTCTGGGATTAAATATGTTCCAAGTAAGGCAGCTGTGTACATCGAAACATAGAAAGATTACCCTTCAGCTCGAACAGATACACAGTATGAAAGAATCCCAGATTATTGAAACTCAGGTGGCAGGAAATTCACCTCTCAGTGTGCATACATTACACACTGCTCCTTTACTTTATGTCTGGAAAAAGCTGACTGAGGGTGAGAAAAAAAAATGCCCGTTGACAGACCTTAAGGAAATGAACCTACTAAAGATGTTTGTCTTATTGGCAATTTGGGCATTGACTTCTAAGGGGAGCCTTTTAAACGGGAGAACGCTTTATTCATTTTGATGTGTGTCAATGACATAATATGGTCAATGACACAGCTAGTGCTGTAAAGTTTTACTCTTTCCAGCTACATAATGGGGCGGCAGATTAGAAATACCAATAAAATATTCTCCCAGCAACACCCATGCACTAAGAAAAGTGGAATTTCCACAGGAGAATTTTTCTCTATCCTGTCATGCATCAGAAAACTCAAGCACATTCCAGAGGACCTCACTCTTTTTCTCCCATCTCCTTTGGTCAATGTGGTAGTTAATGATAAACCCTTTCCTTTACTTTTACTTTTTTATTAGACATTTTGATTTTGCTCCTTGCTATGATACCTCCTGCAGCTGTTTTCACTTTGATGTCTTGGTTTTCTGATTACTGAAAACTAATAAACTTTATTTTATATAGCGCCTTTAAAGATGCCTTCTGAAAGCACTTTACAGAATGACAACAACAAATGAAAAGAAAAAATGCACAAGATATACACAATGAGAGGAGACAGTAGATGGGGGTACTGAATATGGTAGGAGCAGAGCGGTAAAGAACAGAACCAGTTAAGTAAAAGCTCTTCTAAAGAAGAAGGTTTTGAATCTAATTTTGTAAGAGTTTAGGGAAGGTGACTCTCTGATATCCTTGGGGAGAGAGTTCCCGAGCTCTGGGGTATAACAGGAGAAGGCCCTGTCACCCCTAGAGTGTAGACGGGTTTGGGGGACAGATAGGAGTCCAGAGCTAGAAGAGCGAAGGTTGCGAGGTGGGGAGTAGGACGATAGTAGCTCACACCATGCTGAAAAGAGAAGAAAGTAAACACAACGTTTCAGCCGTGGAGCCTCCATTAGGTGTCAAGAAGGCCACACCTGAAGAAGGCTCCACGACTGAAACATTGTGTTTTCTTTCTACTCTTTCAGCATGGAATAAACCTGTTACTTGTTCCTTCGCAGCCTACGCATGTTGACGCAGCTACCCACCTGATAGTCACTCAGACAGGTACTGAGGTCCAAAGCCATGCAGAGCCTTATAGGTGAGCATGAGGATTTTGAAGTCGACACAAAATCTGACAGAAAGCCAACGCAAGGACTCCAGGACAGGAGAAATTTGTTTGTTCAATGTAGATTTAGAACCCCAACGAGTAGAGCATTACAGTAGTCAATGCAGGAGAAGACAAATGTGTTCATCAGCTTTTCAGCAACAGTTACCGATAAGTAACTGATCATTTCTGAGGTGAACGAATGATGTTTTGACAATGTGTTGCACACGTCGAAAGTCAAGCCTGAATCAAATATCACTCACAGGTTTTTCAATTATGACTGAAGCTCAAGTACAGGTCTATCCTCAGATAGTTACTGCATTGGCTTTACAAAGATGATGGGGGTGCCAATAATAATAATTTCATTTCCAGACTTAGGTCTTGTCACAGTTTAGATGAAGGACATTTTGAGTCATCCATGTTTTTATGTCAGAGAAAACTGTATGGACAGTATAAGGAAACAACTCACTGACTCGAACACAGCTCGAATACCTTCATCATCTGTGGGACTTCACTCATCAGGCAGGTCTCTTACTTCATTATTCTTTTATTTCTTTTAGTACAATCTTGGCTCCTACAATGTTAGTTTCTGTTTGGAACAGAAAGATCTTTTTTTTCTTATCAGAGTATATAAGCCATTCCTTTTCTGTCTGTCAGAGACAGACATAATAGAAATACACAGGGATAAAGAAAGAAGGAAGAAGAGAGACAGGGCTATTAATTTTAGCAGCTTGTAATGCTGGGTTTCCAGTGGTTTCTCTCAGAAAAGCCAGTGACACAGAGCTAACATGTTGTCATGTCTCCACTGGTGATCATGTGTGCTGCCGGCTACACTGGGGCCCCCAAAGTATGGAGATTAAATTACATGTCTTTTGAAAGAAAAGAAGAGTAGCTCGTCTTTTTTTAGTCTATTTACTGCCTTTTTTTTGCTTCACATCTCTAGTTTGAAAATGGAACGTTTTAAAAACAAACATCCACAGCAGAGCATCTTAAAACATTCTCTGTGCTTCCACTGGTGAAAATGACACCTCTGTTAGATGTCTCAGGTGTCTGTATGCAAGGCTAAGTTTCAGTAACCGCCTAAAACTGTGCATTCTGTTAAATTGAGCAGCATCCATTTCTTAAAAGACTATGAAGACTATAAAAGTCTGTCTATTAATTGAAACTAAATTGTAATTGCAATTAAATTGTGTCTGATTATCACACCCCTGTAGTTGCCCTGATGTAGCAGCACTCAACACACTCATGTTAATCAACATTGACTATGTGGAATTACTTTGTACAGGATTAAAAATGAGGATCTATGTGGAAAAATCTGACTACTTGCCGAGAAAATTCCATCATTGTTTTCCATTGGAGAACAGTGGTGCTGTCCCATCCCTCAAATCAGTAATTAACTCCTCCATAGTCATTTTCTTTTCCATGAGGCAAAAAGGGTTCGATAACCACCAGGCTTCAGAATAAAGGAAATTGACCACATTACCCCTCCTCCTTTTCATAATAGAGTAGTGGGTGAGAGGTCAGAAGGCCATTTACAGTCTTTGTCAGCATTTAACCAGACAACAGACAAATCAGCTACTTTTTTACACCACTTGACATAATGTTTCTTGTCTTACATCATTCCTGTCTGACCCAGGCATTGGTAAAAATTTGTGAGACTAAAATCAACTGCAAGGTAGGGTAGGAAGAAGAGACATTTGCCAATTACCTAGAGCTGTTATGAAGGATGACTCTTTAAGAAGTGGCGCAGGTCGTTACAAGTCTCTATCCCTGTGTGTAATCCACACACAATAGTTTGTCATGAGTTTATCAGATAGTTACTGGCTTCTGTCAATATTGAATCTGTCTGGACGCAGCTGAATGTCATTGCACGCTCCATGTCCTGTCTGTGCAGATATTGCATCTCAACTTCCTATAAAAAAGCTTTCAAAATCTTTTTTATCTTTGTGTTCACTGAGCACTGAAGCTTTTATAGTACTTCGTACAGCCAGCTTCACATCAGTGATGAAGCGATAAGGAAATCCTATGGCTTTTAGCTTCCAATTAGCTTTTTAATGCTAATTGAAGCAAACTTTATAAACAGGATGGAAGATTGATACCTGGAAAAAAGCTTTAATTTCAAAGCTGTTACCTGTAGCCACTTATTTTGGCCACTTATTTTGGTGCATTGATTGTTTCATGTTATGTAATGTTTATATTTGCATTTTGTTTTTATGTCTAGTGCATAATCCCTATCCATAACAAATATTATAACTGTAAAAACGTCCAGGCTTCATGTGTTAATTATAAAGTTTTAGGTTTCATAAAATGCAGATATTTCCTTCATCTCAGATTATATACATATTAACTATTTACTTTTAATTAAAAAAGAAATATCTACTAATACTTCAAGAGTACTGAGAATGTCTGCCACCATGTGGTGTAACCTCATAATAACAGCTTGCACAATTTGATAATTTATAGAATGGTTACTTAATTAAAACTAGTTTCCTATGCCTCTTTCCAAAGCCTTTTAAAAGCATAATAGAAATAACTCTATCTTATTTAGATAATAACATTTAAGAAATGAAACACTACTTTTCACTATTCAAAATGTTTTACTTTGATGTAAACTAATAGGTAATAGCTAGATACCTTCCAAAAACGTATCTCAGGTTTGTGGTGTGCTGTGAGACATTGCAGCTGCTACAAATTATATTCATTAATATTCATTTGCTCTTTTGTTTTCACGATGCATTGGACAGGAGGCTCAAAATGATATGAAAATGAATTTAATTAAATACATGCAACTGCAATCAGAAGAAATACTCCAGAACCCAGGATTCAAGAGCAGTGAGCTAGCAACGTCAACCAGCATGCCACCCTATCGCCTTCAGAAGGCAAGTGGGAATATTTGTGTATCCAAGCAACGCAGATGTCGGAGCTGCTAAACCTTCTGAGGTCTAAGAGTTTTTGTCTGGCTTGAACTTTTCTTTACAAATTACATTTATCATTTTACAGCACAAAACCCAATATATAATAAATTACGCTTACAAATACTGTACATTAATGCCTATGGTCTGGTATTAATGTACACTACTGTAAGTGTACATTATTAGATATGGTTTGATATCTGATGGACCATGGTAGACAGTGGTAATTTGCCAGTTACCGTCTTTTACATGTATAACAGGAAAAAAAAAATGAATTAATTACAGTACAGCCCTAAACTGACAAATAGGATCATCAGTTCTTATCAGTCCACTGTAGAAAGGTTATTGCCTCACAATTGTAACCCAACTTTCAAGGAGACGGACGTTTTCCGGCATTAGATCACAATGAGAAGTTTTCTTGCAATTTTTCTCGTAGTTTTAACTACATTACATTTTTCTGTGGATGCTGATCGACTTTTACAGAATACAAAACCAGGTGAGTTTGTTTCTTTTTGTTTATTTTTAAAAAAAATAGTCTGTAAAGTCTAGAAGAACTAGGCGCCCTTGAGCCACTTCATAACGATATCCGTCGTTGAACAATTTTTCAGATTATTCACGTTCCTTTGGAAGTCCTATCCCCAGTGTTGTAGTCAAGGTTTCAAGAACATAGCCTTGGCTAACAAAAATAGCATAACAGAATATGATATGTTTTTATTTTTAGTAATTTGAAATTACTTTGGATTTAGGCTGGCTACTCTTATTTGACCTTTCCACTATAATAAATACTAAAATGTAAAAAAGTTTTTTAATGGGTTGCCGTTATGCTATAAAATTGTTCTAAAATGTGGGAGACATAAATTGCTATTTAATGAATCAGCTGCCGAATTTATTAATACAGGAGGACATTATGGTTCACTTTAATCGCATAGAACCTGTCTTTCTTGGATTAGGTGATTTGAGAGAGATATTACAAATTGTTGAAGCAAGTTGGAAGAATCTTTATTGATTTTATTCGCTGCAGGTGTTTCACGTTTCACATTCTGCCAGTCAAGTATCCGCTGTAGACAGGTGGAGGCAACAAGGTTGAATTCACTCCCAGATGACTCGGGACTAGTTTCTGAGGGGATGGGGAAAGAATTAAACAGTCAGATAAACAGGATGTCAATGAAATCATTTTTAACCGTTTTCATTTTCTCAGTCTGCTTCAGTATTTGCTGAAATGGGAGTGGGGACATTATTGGCTGCCTCTCTAAACATGAAACTTACAAGCAGCTTTGAATAGTGCTCGGGACAAAGGTCCTTATTTAAAATTTTTATGATGGCCAATTATCTCTTACAGCAGCATAGATCAGGTTTCAGTGGTAACTAGTATCAAATTTCAGTTATGGTTGGCCAGCAATACACAGCTTGGGAAAAAAAGCAACAAATCAGTATTGAAACCAATTGCGTTAGTTAAGGTTTTAATGCCTATGAGTATATGGAATTTGTAAAATTCCTATTAGGCATCCAACTAAAAATGTAGTGCATGTACTGAGTTTAAAAATCTAAACATATTTGTTAAACGAATCTATTTTGTCAAAGAGATGAATTCAGATATTACATGACATTATGACACAAGTGGTGTCATGGTTAGCAATGCTGGGAACCCTGGGTACAATTCCCGACCTGGGGTACTATCTGCATGGAGTTTGTATGTTCTTCCAGTGTTGCGCGGGTTTCCTCTGGGTGATCCAGTTTCCTCCACTGTCCAAACATATACTGGTGGGTTAATGGGCTCCCAGGAAAATTGGCCCTGGTGTAATTGAGTGTGTTTGTGTCCGCCCTGCGATAGACTGGCATCCTATCTAGGTTGTACCCTGCTTAGTGCCTGTTGCTTGCCAGGATAGGCTCCCCCACATCCCTGAATTTGATCAAGTGGCTAGAAAATGGACAGATGGACTATAAAGAAAAATATCAAAGTGTTAACTGACAGAAGGTACTGTATGACATCTGGGAAAAACAATTTATGGAAGCAATTGTTTTCTGTATAATATCAATTCTAGTTACAAAAAAAAAGAATCTGTTCCTTTTTGATAATCAAATAAGCTCTTTTTTGTTTTTTTCTTTTATACGCCAGTACACACTCCCTTTTAAAGAGATACCCATAAAAGTTGTGCATTTTGAGGCTAAAGATAGAAGTCATGCAGAACATCTCATGAACCAGATGTAGAAAGTCATTCAAAATAAGGTCAAGAAGTTGTAATAGAGTATGTGTGATGTATTACAAATTCTTGACCTTATTTAAAGAAACCCTTTCCGCTGAAAACAGATAATCAGCTGGAAGCAGTGAAAACTCTGGATTCAGACTTTATATCCCCTCAGCAGAGCTGCTTGCTCCCATTCAGAATTAGTGAGGAGCAGGAGTCTCATCTCTGGGAGTGAAGGCTGAGATAATAGTTTGAAAACACCCATTTCCCCGAGATATCTGGCAGCTGTACAATCATGTCAGCGTCAGCACAGGAGGTAGCCAGCTTCCCTCTCTTTTCTCCGGAGCTATTTTTAAACTGGTCCTTTGTGGGCGGCCGTTGCTCAGCATGATGTTTAGGTGGAGAAGTGGTAAATGCAAGGTGGTCAAACCGCACAGTTCTGACAACAGCTGTCCAGTGTCAGGGCGGCACCAGGCCCAGTAACAGCTGACATGTTCCTGTTCGGGCCTTTCAGTCCAGACTGTGACTCTTCTCTGATCCCTTGACTACAGTCTTGACATGCTTTGGCTGAAAAATCTAAGATCTGTCTGAATCAAACACAAATTTAAGAATCCCAAAATGCATGATGACAAAGTCCTATGGAGAACAAGATGAAAGGTATAAAAAGCATTTAATGTTAAATACAAGGCAGAGTGTAGAATTTAGTGAGATACAAATTCAGTGCACTAAACAACAGGAAAGAAAACTCATTACTGACTATTCTATTTTTCAGTTCTCTCCATATTATTTTTAACTCTTATTGACTGCACCATCCTAACACCTTGGTACCAACCTGTATTCTAGAATATGGAAGTAGTTTGAAGGTGCATTACAGTGGGGATAATGGTATTGTCACATGTAAGAAATGTTTCACTTAGTTTTAACCCTTGCACCTCACTTGAAGAATTATTTCTTTGTGTGCATGTTAGTAAGGCAGTAATGAGAGAAGGAAGACAGTTTGTTATTTTCACAGTTACTCTCAAGAAATTAGTCTCGGCAAGGTTTCCTGAAACTAGGGAATTTAAGAACAGTGTAAAACCAATGTCATCTATAATAAGGGAGTCCTTAACAAACATGAACTGCTCCTGTTTAAGGCATATCATGTTTATTCTGTCTTAGGCTTAAAGACAATTGACTCTTCTCATAAGGCATTAGTTAAGAGCAGATAACATTTTGACATGAATAAGATATTAATGTAATTTATAAAAGGGAAATTTGCTCATCCAATCCAATAAGACTGCTTTCATTTGTATTTAGCATATTAGTATATTAGTATACTGTTGTTGTTTTTTTTAAGTACAGTGAGGATAGGTGAAATGATTTAATTCTTAGTGGAATATTAAGACACTCTCTGCAAAATAATTATTTTGTGTTTAGGAGTGGTGTCACATGGCCCTGCTACAAGGGGGTTTTCTAGCTATAAAAGATATGTAACTGAGGCACTTACTTCCTAACTGGTATTCTAGCTGCAACAAACAGGGCCCTTCACCATTTCATCTCCAGGACAGAAACAAAAGGCATCACACTGTACCCAGCAACGTTCTGGTGCAAGAAGCCTCATGGAGCATCACTGTTCACTGTTCACTGAGACTGAGATGAGCAGAACCTAATTCACTGCACTATTGATAATCTGGTAAAGCAGTGGTAATCTGCACTATTTTCATTTAAGAAGGGAATGATAAAAACACAGTAATTCTTTGATGGGATGGCTCATGCATCTGTTTGATTTAAATCATATTGTGCTTTCACGTGATGTACAAGCTTTGAGCGGAGTGACTCATTTTCCCCTTGCAGGATTCTAAATCATTGTTGACTTATTTACAGCAGTCATAAAAACTAGGAGCTGTGTTGACATAGTTAACTGAAACTCACCACCTAACTGATGATTAACAAAGAGGCTAGTTTCTTACATCATTGTAAAATTCAATGATTTTCTTAATGTGAATGTATAATATTTAGAAGTCAAATAAACAGTGTCAACCATAGAGAACCTGAACACACCAAGCAGAATTCCAAATCCCTCTTCTCTAAACATGATAATTGGACCTCTTGTGTTATAAAAGCTGTATTTGTATTCAGGAGAATTGTTCTCTATCTTTCCAAGCATGAGAACAGCTCATGAAAACATTCCTTCCACGGTCAATGCAGTAAGAGGGTGAGAAAAAAAATTGCCCTTTGACAAACCTTAAGGAAATGAACCTACTAAAGATGTTTGTCTTATTGGCAATTTGGGCCTTGACTTCTAAGGGGAGCCTTTTAAACGGGAGAACGCTTTATTCATTTTGATGCGTGTCAATGACATAATACGGTCAATGACACATAGCTAGTGCTGTAAAGTTTTACTCTTTCCAGCTACACAATGGGGCGGCAGGTCATGTCAGATTAGAAATACCAATAAAATATTCTCAGAGCAACACCCATGCACTAAGAAAAGTGGAATTTCCACAGGAGAATTTTTCTCTATCCTGTCATGCATCAGAAAACTCAAGCACATTCCAGAGGACCTCACTCTTTTTCTCCCATCTCCTTTGGTCAATGTGGTAGTTAATGATAAACCCTTTCCTTTACTTTTACTTTTTTATTAGAAAACATAGAACACCTCATGTCCAAAACCCCTTTCTAACACTTTTCTTTATCAATTTCACAGAATGTAATTTGACTATGGATGAAGGAACAGGTGAAAATCTGCATTTCCGCCTTTACTACGACTCGGCCTCCGACAAATGTCTCCCCTTCATGTACAAGGGTCACGGAGGAAATGGAAATCGCTTCATCACTGACAGGTGGTGCATGCAAAACTGCTCCTCTCGGGCATCTAAACTCTACCCCACTGGCGGTAAGGAAAGAACCCGTTACAACCAAGCTTTCTGGGAGCTCTACCAGAGGCAGTCTTCTGTACCTCAACAAGCGTGGTAAAAAGTGATCTGTCTGCACTCTGAAGCTGGATGCTGTTGCCATCTTGGTTAATTGTGAGGCACTTCCAGATGTGCTTTTTGTTTTTCACAATTACCGATGGGGCTCACATCTACAAGACAGTTCGTTCACAGGGAGTTCTTGCTTGTTACTGTATATCCACAAGTATAAAAAATAGTTCACATGATGTTTAAACTGCTAACTAGCAAAGTGCTAAGCTAACAAAGTCTTTTCAAGGTCAGTTTTAAAAGCACCTTTGCCACCACCACACCTAAACTGGAGACATTGCACCGGACATCATGTGTATATTAGGAGGCTCTTAGTCTAGATGCCCCAGCCCCTCACTGTGCTCATGAGCTTTTTCTGGGAGTTTATCGAAGTCTACCAACTCAAAAAGTGTGGTTAAAATAACAGCTTTATTCCAGTGATCTGTCTGCACTCTGAAGATGTTCACTGTTGCAAATTTGGTTAATTGTAGTATGCTTTCAGATGTAACTATAATGAACCTTTTTTATTCTTCCTGATTGATGGGGGTCACAGTCTGTCACAGGTTATTCTTACTTGTCAGTGTATGTTTACAATTGTAGCCACCACAACTAAACAAGAGATATGGCACCAGACAAGGTGCACTAATACCCACTGCCAATCAGAGCAAGCGAACAAGAGTGTCTTTAACAGGAATTAACAGGTGGGGAGAAATGACAGAACATGTATAGGGGCCATAAAACATGTGCTTTGCAGTGTGATCAGAAGAAGATTGGTTAAATGAATGTTTACATCACAAGAGAAAACAGAAAACCAGAGCACAATAAGTAGCTTATCCCT